CCCATCCTAACTCGTCAAATATTGGGCACCCATTTTGAACTAATTGAACCTCCCTCTAACATTCCCAAATGTCTGTACTTAGCCCAGAAGTTCAGTGCACAAGCTGCTTTCAAAATGTCCCAAACCAGTTTATGATAAACCTGGATGGATGTAGTATTAGACGTGACTGATGTAGATTAAATCCATTTATTGAACTTCTGTCCCAGACCCCCTCCAGATTCAAGTTAACTTACAGTCCCCCAGCATCCTAGGGTGCTTTGCAACTCCCTACCTCACAGGATGGGCGAGCTAATCTTAGCCGAAGCTGTCTGCTCCAGAAGATCAGGGAGGCGTGATCTAGCACCACGCCCCACTGCCCCAGCTTCTGGCCCAAGCTCACTGCAGGCATGTGGCTGCATTTCCAGAATAAAAAATGAACGGCTGTTCACTTGCTTCTCAGTTCAATCTATGCAGCTTAGATTAACCTGCAAAGATGGAATCAATTCAGTCTTGGGCTATTTGACTGTCTGTACTTAGTCCTACTGTGCAGGCCCCATGTAAGGAGGGAAGCACTATAACATACAAATTCTTTTCTGAAAATAATTTCTTGGGCACGACTCAGTTTGTAAGAGGTATGCCTCAAGTCCAAAAAGCTGAGAACCACTGATGCAGACATTTCATGCAGATTGTAAATGGAGCAAATTGACTAGTACAGTTAAACATTTTTACCTTGGCTTTCTGGAAGAATTTGCATTTTAAAAGTTCTGCTGCTGTGGGCCTGAAAGATCAATAAAAGATTAGAGCAGAAGACAAGTATCCCACAACTACTGTAAAAAATATTAGTGAAATAGTATGTTTCTGTCATGCTTCTGAATTATTGCTGTGTATAATTTCAAATTATTTTAAAATTAATGATAGATGTGCTCCTTCACTAAAACACATGTATTACAATAATGATGCGCCTAGATATTAATGACATGGAATACAATAAATATCCTGATAGTCTGACACTTTCCTTTATAATACATGTATACTGGATGATTGAACCAAGGTTTACACAATTTCCTTTCATCCATAAGAACATAACATATGCTCCCCTAAATAACTTAATTCATGTGCCTAAACTCTACTCCAAATTAATTGGCTTCTACAGGTGAAAGGGTAATTTATTTTATTTTTTAAGAACGGTATCAACAGGTATTGGCAACTGCAGTTTTTTGGTGATGGAGACAGATGTCGACAAGGAACTAGACTGAGCTTTATCAATTTGTTTCATAAACCAACAAAAGCTGACAATTGTGCTTCTAGCCCCTGACTACAAGAAAAGCCCAAAGCAATGGCTCAGAGGTCCAAATTTAATCCTTTCAGTTACCTATTCAGTGAGTACCCACACTTCCCCACCTAAATATATCAAGTTTGAAATCTATAGCAATTTAACTCAAAAGAAGTTACCAGTTTCTTACCACAAAAGCTGCATATAAAGGTTTAGCCTGAAGGTGTTGCTCTTTCTAAAGGAGCTCCCTACTACTTAACTTCCAACTGATGTTAAAGCAAATACCTAATTAATACATATATCTGGCTGCCGAGCAAAACAAGTCCAAGTAGGTTCTCCCCCATAGATAATTTCAGCAACAACAAAACCTATCATTTTTGGCCAAAACCAAAAATATTTTTATTTGAAAATGTTGCTTTGGTGCCTGAGGTAAACTATAGTTCAGGTGCTTCATTAACTAAGGCTCACTGGTCAAATAATACATATGATGAGGCATCAGTCTCACACACAAGAGTCTGGAAACAGTAACGTCATATGGTAAAGCTAAACTAAGCTATAGCAATCTTGAGTGTTCAGACCCAGGCCCAATCATTTTGAGCCAACTCTGAAGATTAGACAAACCTAAGTGGAAAGGCATCATGAGTGTTAGTACTCTGACATTTGCATATCAGCATGGGTAATGCAGAATGAGTAACTCCTAAAACCTCCACTACCAACAGTAAACACTACTGTATGAACTCAAACCCAAGACGAGAGTCTTTCTATCCCCATATTAAACTAGGGGGGGAGGTGGGAACCTCATCTTGGTTTTGAATACAAGGCAGCGGTGGGGGCAGGTAGCTGCTGCATCTCCTACTCCAGCTCTGGGCCCAGATGTAACCTTGGATCAGGGTCAGAGTCAGACCTGCAGCCACTGCCCACCTCTACTCCCTGGCTGCCTACCATCCAGCTCTGGCAGAGCTCCAATTCCGTGCCAGCCCAAGACAAAAAATAAGTAATTGCTCTGGCCCCAGCCCCGCCCTGGTAGCAGCAGCAACAATATGAGCAGTTCTGGCTCCAGGACTAGGCTGGAGCTGCCACCACTACAACGGCTGCTACATGGCCAGGCAGGAGCTGGAACAACCATGTGTTCTGTGCCTCCAGCTAGAGTGGACTTGGGCTGGAGCTAAAGGGTTAACAGTGGCAGCAGATAGATCACCAATAATTAGATTATGTACATGCAAAAACATCTACCACTCATCTTTATAAATGTTCCATGTATAGTATCTAATTATCAGGAGGTCGTCTTAAATTCCAAGTTGATTTGTATTCAGGTAAAAATAGTATGTTATATTTTGGACTAAGAGAAGAATACTGTAACTGTTATATCTTAGCATGACAATTATGTTTATACACCAATATAATCTTGCCCTGAAAACAGCTGGTCTCTGTATCCTAAAAACAGCTGCACTTCCTGTAACACACTTCAATCTAAATCTTAAGCAGTCTACAAGTTGAAGGGTTGAGCTGAAAAGGATCAGAGTCCAGAGACTCAGATTTAAAGAGGCAGACTGCAAGAGGCTTCGGAATCTGAAAACAGTGCACATATGATCCCCGAGACAAAAGAAAGTATCTAAAGAACGGTCGGAAATTAACATGTTTTCTTGTAGTTTACACTCTTTTTTCCCTAACTATTCTTGGTGCTCCCTATTTTTCCCGCTCTCAGGTCCTAGACCCAATTCTAAATTACTGGAGCTAGAGATGAGAATAGGGCATGCTACATCTAATTCACAATTATTTTATTCTGGGTTTTTATGTCACTGTGAGACCCGTGAAATCAAACTATATCATTATACCATAATTGGCCCCACTTTTCTTTACACAAGAATCTTATAATGCTAGTAATGAAACCTCCCAAAAAGGGGGGGTTAAATAACATATTAATACCTTGGGGAATATGCTATTTACAGAAAGTGCCTCCTCCACAACTTCAACAAAAGCAAATCTACAAAATGGGTTTCTACAAAAATGACTATGATTAAAATGAAATGGGGGGGGGGGG